TCTTGTAGAGGTATAGACAATAAATGAATAGACAAGAAAATAAAAATTACAAAATTTGACCTAATATTTTGAAGGGAAAGAACCAGTTAGAATATTTAGCCACAATGACATAGTGTAGTGACATGACGTCTTTTCCAAATTTACCTGATCATAAGAATTATTGGGTGAAAGGAAACATACAGATTCCCAGGTTCTTCCCTGAAAATCCTGATTTATTACATCTGGGATGGGGTGATCTATATTTTTAAGAAGTATGCAAGATAATTCTTATGACAAAGCATACACAGGGGAAGTGGAAATGTAAACAACGTTAGACTGGTGATAAAGAGATCTGGCCTCTAGTCACTGGCTGTGTGACTTTGAGTAAGCCATTCTCTTACTTATTCCCATTCTTATTATATAAAATAACAGCATAGAATTCAATCTCAACGTGCCTGCCAGCTTTGAGTCAATGTCCGTTGGAGATAATACAGAGTTTACTATTATTTGTATTGCACACACATTGGGAGCGGAGGGTTATACCAAACACAAAAAGCAAGATAAAAGCAGTATAAGTGAAAAGCACTCTTCTATTTAAAGACATTTCAAATCTAGTCATACTCCTTGGAAATTAAATATAAACTAAATGCAAAAACATACATCTGTTTTCTGTGAAATTTATTTAAGCCTTTCAAAACATATTTCAAACATCCAAACGTGTTGTTTATATAAATATCTGACCACACAAGGGTACGTTTTGACATATGTCCACTATAACCCAAACACAGAAGGAAAGGGTAGGCATTAAGCTGAATTGTAGAGAGATAGGGAAGGGAACTAACTTATATTGAGGACTTATGGTGCATTACACTTATTATCCACATATATTATCTCAAAATAATCCTCTGTTGTATTATCTTCATTTACTGTTAACTGAAGCACAGAGGCATGAAAAATTTGACCATGCTAAATTGCAAGATCCTTAGGAGAACTGTGTTTTTTCCATGACACCTAGAAGCATTCTGCCACATAGGAGGTGTTCAGTTTGCCTTTTATGAATGAGTAAGTCAATAAATTATAAGCACTAACCAGAGAATGACATTCCAAGTTAAAGAGATATAGGCACATAATAATATTCAATAAGGTTAAGGGAAAAACATGCCAAGTTTGCTTCCTAGACTTTTCAGAAGTATAAGATATAACAATAAAACATGAATCTAAAATTTCCAAATTATACCACAAGTAATGGTTAACTAGACGTCCTGAGGCAAAGTGCATTTTGGTGATCAATAACTAGAAGGTCTATTAGACTTAAAATATCTATATAGTTTCTCCTGAAACATCAAGAATATATTTATGTAGCAAATATATTCTTCTTTGGAGTTAATCTACCAAATATTACATAGGAGGTCCTCTTACAACACATCACCTTTTCAAATTGTCTCTCTGACTTTGGCATGCTGGCATTTTGGAAAATAACTAGAAACAAAAGGATAATAAGAAGTTCCCTATTCTTTCCTCTCGTAGAAGTTTTAACTAGCCTTAAACAAGAAGAAAATGGTAACACTTTGTCCTCTTTCTGTATGTTAGGACTTTTTATAGGGAGAGAGGGCTCTGTACACAGCAGTGACTGAGTGAGGGTCCCAAAATCAATGGCTTTGTCCATTTTTTACTGTAATTATGTCTAAAACCCCTTGGTATCGAAGAGAATCCCAGCCAGGAACTCTGTGGTTATCTTGTCTTTCATTTTGGGAGAGTATATTTTTAGGAATACCCTGTCCTGTCTCTTCTCTCCTACAGTATGGGGTCTCAAGGAGCCCCTGTGGCAGTCAATGAAGTCTGAAAGCTGCTGTCATCGCACATGGTGTTTATTAGTATCCATGGCAGATTGAATACAAGCAAAAGTGAAAAACTCAGTAGAAAAGTTGGAAGATAAATTTGAGGATACCCTACTGAAAGTACAGCAAAAGGACAAACATTGAAAATGGAAAGCCTAGGGTGACAGTTGTGCTCCATGTACAGAATAACCAATCCAGATTGGAGCAGATCAGAAGATTCCAGGAAAAATTGCTTCAAGATGATAAAATTTTTACACTACCAAATGTGTATGAATGTATTGAGAGGAGATATATACAACTGGAAAAGAATTTGAGGCTAAATAAACAGTAAGTATCTAGAAAATTAAGCAGGCAAACATACTAAAAATAAAAACTAAGTAAATAATGAACTTCATGGAAACAAAATAGCGTTATGCAGAAAATGGCAAATAATATTATACTACATAATTCAAATATGTAAAGCATGTACATAATCATAATAATGTTAACATTAAATATCAAATTAATCAAAATTATGAAATAACTATACCGGAAGGATAAGAAGAGACGAACTAAGCATGTAAGTGAAAGGATCAGTGAAGAGATTTTGAAAGAGATCAAAAACAGCCTCACATTTTATAGTGGAAAATCAATCACCAATTCCTAGGACTGAAAAATCAAGAAGTAGCAATATAAACAGATATGAGAGAGATTCCTAGGTGTTCCCCAATACCTGTCTTCTCCCTCTTCCAGAATAATGGAAAATTTAGCTGGGCACATGGCTGACCACAACATCACCACGTTTGTAGCTTCCCTTGCAGTTAGGTATGACCACGTGACTGATCTTTTGCCAATAGAATATTAGTGAATGTGTCTTGTGGCAGTTTCTTGGGATCCCATTTAGAAGATAGCTGGTGCAGACGCTTTGCCCTTTCTTTCTCCCCCCTCTCTGTCATGCTGCCTAGACCATAAATGCCATTATTTTAGACCTTGAAGACAAGGTCTACATCATAGAGATGGAAGAATGGAAGGTGGAAGGCACCAGAGTCTCTGAGAACCTACAGAGCAGAATAGCCATGCCAGCTTTAAGTTACGTATCCTTGGACTTGTACATGGTATTGAAATATCTTGTCTAAGCCGCTGTTGAGTCTTTTTGTTATTCACAGCCTAACAATTTTAATTAGTTCAGCACATTATTCATAGATGGAGGTAAATACCAAAGGAATTGCCTAAAGGAGTGGAAAGTGGTTGACTGGCTATTGGGAAATGGTAGGAGGGGAGGAGTGAGGAATGTTGGTTTTGCAGCAAGTTCTACAGAACTTGACTCCCTAAGCTACGTGCATGTATAACTTTGATTTTAAAAAACAAACGACAGTGACAACAAAACACATGCTCTGCATTTCCCTATTCCTGGCTTTTGCTTAGGCTCCTCATACCATGATCTCACTCCAGTTCCTCTTTAGTCATTTGTATTCTTGTGTCATCCCTCTTGCTAGACTCCAAGATCCCTAGAAATAGAAAGTGTCTAACGCATTTCTATTTCCTTGTTAGTATATATGGGACATAGCATGTTCAGTAAATACAGGATTTAATTTGATTTCCCATCTATATCCTAACAAAATTAAAAGGAAGGATGTGAACAGGACAGTATTTATTTTGAGAAATTTTTGCTTTATGAATTCTCTCTATACTTCTCCCCCTTTCTTCATGTAATGTATGAGAAAATACTTTATTTCTTCCTCTAGAAGAGTTCTGTGTTTTTGGTCACTAGTTCTTTAATAGTACTTCCTTCTTGATCTTCTGGGATAATCTTCCAGTGTGAGCTGAGGCCTACTCATACTTGCTCATAAGAGCCAACTTTAGCATCACTTCTGAACTCCACGTTGAACGACTCATGGAGTCAGCCATGATGGGATCTTTACACCACAGAAATCAACACATGCTGTAAATCGGGACTTTTTCCTCCCTTAAAGAGCTGATTGCTAAATAGTTACCAGCATACCACTGCCACTATCTAAATCTTATATCAACATCTTTCAATTGGAATGTAAATTATTGTTCCCATGACTGATTAATGTAATTTTTCAATCTAACATTCATTACATATGTGAGATATTTTTCAGATCATGTAATTTTTTAAAGTGTTACTGAGCTATATTTAACATACCATACAGATGATTCACTCATTGATTATGTACAATGAAAAGGTTTTTAATATATCCACAACTGTGCAACAATCACTACTGTCTAATTCCAGAACATTTTCATCATGCCAAAAAGAAACGCTATACCTATTAGCAGTCACTTCTCATTCCTCCCTACCCCCAGCCCCTGGCAACCACTAATCTACTTTCTGTCTCTATAGATGTGCTTATTCTGGACATTTTATATAAATGGAATCATAAATCATATGTGATCTTATGTGACAGGTTTCTTTCACTTGGCAAGATGTTTTCAAAGATTCATCTATTTTGTAGCAAGTTTCAGCATTTCATTTCTTTATATGGCTCTATAATATTCTAACATATGCATATATCCCAATTTGTGTATCCCTTCACTTGATGGACATCTGGGTTTTTCCACTTTTTGGCTTTTAGGAATAATGCTGCTATGAACATCCATGTATAAGCTTTTGAGTGTACATAAGTTTCATTTCTTTTGGGTATACACCTAAGAGTGGAATTGCTGGGTCATATGATAACTCTGTGTTGAAAGTTTTGAGGATTGTTTTCCAAAGTGGCTAAAACACTTTGCATTCTCACCAGAAATGTATAACGGTTATAATTTCTCCACATCCCGGCTGACACTTGTTATTATCTGTCTTTTAGATTACAGCCATCATAGTGGGTGTTAAGTGGCATCTCATTGTGGTTTTGATTTCCATAATGACAAATGATGTTGAGTATCTTTTTGTGTGTTTATTGGCCATTTGCATATCCTCTTTGGATAAATGTCTATTCAAATCCTTTGCCCATTTTTAAATTGCATTATTTGCCTTTTTATTATTGAGATGTAAGAGTTCTTTACATATTCTAGATACACGTTCCTTATCAGATATATGATTTGAGCATATTTCCTCCCATTCTGTGGTTATCTTTTTCACTTTATTAATGGTATTGTTTACAGCACCTCACACAATTTTTTGAAAACTTCCATTTATGACACTCATCAACCACAGCATGAAAATTATTGAAAATATCTTACCCGAACTATTTCACAGTCAACATTTAATTCAGTTGCAACTGCTTCAATTTTCTCTCTACAGACAGAGCCAAGGCTAGTCATACCATTGTCCCAGTACTTCTTAAGGGTGGCTAAGTCTCGGTCACTGAACTGAGTGCGGTCTTGCAGCTGTAAAACACATTTTAAAAAGTTAGAATAATCAAAGGAGAGAATATTACAGAGAGGGTCATCAGGGTGAGAAGTGCTAGGTTACTTTCAACACATAACAGTAGCTAAATTAATTTCACTATTCTTACTCCATGTTCCCTGATTCTGAAATGGGCATTTTCATGGCATTTATTTCTATAATATGAAAGTGTGCTAGAATAAAATGTGTAAAAAAAGTTAACTGATGGCAATTAAGCAATGTTGATTTTAAATGGTTGTAAGCACAAATGATACATCTCATTGTAGAAAATACAGATAAATTTTAAAAAGAAGAGAATCTAAATCACCCACACTTCTGGAAATAACACTTGTTAGCTTTCTAATGCATGTTTTTTTCAAACTTCTTTCTATGATACACATATTCACATTCACACTACATACATTTACAAAATAGCAGAGTCAAGATCACAGCACTGTGCTGCATTTTGATAAGTTAATCTATATTTTCCATTCATAGGTCTCCAACTAATGTTATAATTAATTAAAAAGGTAAATAAGAGAAATGTAAAAAGATAATGTAGCCCTAAAAGAACAATTGATATTTATGGCTTCAGAAAGTCTTATAATAAGCCTATCCTTTTTGCTCTTAGGGTTTTTTTTTTTACCCAATAGGCTACAAACTTTATATATTCTTTTAAGTCAATGAATCCTGGAGGCATCTTTAGGAAGTAAATTAGAAGTATGACAGATTTTGCTAATAAGGAATCAGTAAAAGAAGGATCAAAAGACTCATACAACAGGGCAGAGAGGGTCTATGACAGAGCTAGAAATAGAAATATATCTGATTTTTTTCTAGTAGCTTTATCTCTATGATGTGTCCGATTATCTCAAGGGGTGGTAAAAAATCTAAAAATGAACTTTAATTAAAATATATATCCGGCAAAGCCCCATATGTTTATGTGTTTGTGGTGAGAAAGAGCAAAAGTGAGAGATCAAGAGAGTGAGAGAGAAAGAGACAGCCCGTGAGTGTGAGTGAGTTGAGGACAAATGTTGCAAATTGTAGCATTAAGTATGAGCTTCTGTTGCTGCCTTCTGCCTAAGAAGATATGGTCTTGTCTCACACTGAGGCTAGATGTCAAATCCTTACTAGACATACATTGCTTTCAACATTTCCTTTCTAACTGAAATTTAAAATGGAAACTTCTCCTAAATCAGATTTGGGGTAACAATGGAAAATAATGCATACAACACATAAAACATGACTTAAATAAAGAGTTTTCATAGCTAAAACCGATATACTACTAAACAACAGGTGCAAATTTGTTTTAAAGCTACAACCTTTTAACATGGAATTTTAGCTATGGGAGGAAAAGCAGTATATGAATTCTCAGTTTACTACCAAGAGAGTAAAGTTAGATTGCATAATTAATGTGTGTTGCTTCATAAGAAATACAGTAGTTTGTGTGCATGTGTGTTAATCAGTCCCCTTATCAGCTAAATCTGTTCTCCCTTACTTCAAAAAGTCTTGATGAGTAACATTTATCATGGGTACTAGTACTAAATTACAAGTTCCAAATAAATAAATCAAAACACGTCATCCAAGTCTTTTTTTTGAATCAAGTCAACAACCCTCAAGTTATTTGCTAAATAAAAATCTCATTAGGTACCCATTCTATTTTTATTCTACAATAGTTGTGGAGCTAAAATTCTCAAAATAAAACAGAGAGCAAAATAAATGGTAGTAAGGTTCTAGGTAGATTCAAACAATCTATCATAACAGCCAGCATAACTATTCTCACATTTTTCCACTGCACCAAATTCTCCAGTGCAAGCTAACATAACATTACCGTCAGAATGGAAGGAACAATGAACACACTCAGCCAATTAATTTGTAATTCATTTAGAGGACATCCAAAGCTGATTCATCCCTTAAATTGAACGAAATAAAACCTGATTTGATTTGTTAGCAATGTGCTGGGGTCTCAACATTAGCAATGCTGAAAGCGACCTATTATGGCAATGTCTATTAAACAGAAGCTTCGAGGGGAAGAGCAGTTATTTTTAAAGCTTCTAAGAGCATATTTTAACTAAGAAAATAAATAAGGTAATAAAAATCAATTATCATTAAAACTGTGAATACTCATTTAGAGACGGGGAAAAAAGATAGATACTTAAAGGAGAAGGTGACTTCTTCCCTGAGGAAGCCTGAAGTTGAAATCAGTTTTGTCTTTTGTTGGACTCTAAAGCCACTTTCACCTTACAAGGCATCCCATAACCAAAACGGCTGGCTGAAATGAGGGAGACAAATTAGGCAATTATCTTGTTGATTTTGTGAAAAAGAGAAGCATTCCAGTAACCCTGGCAATCTAGGTGAAAGCTGAGGCTTGCCCCAAGTGACCAGATAATTGTGTTGATTTCACGTGGATTATATTGCAACACAATAAACAGAAACCTTCTGGCCTCTTCACTACTTTCAAGGACATTTCCAGGAATTTAGCTCTTTGTTTTTCTTTTAAAAATAAAACTAGGTGACAAAACTCTGATGTTGGGGAGCAGAGTTCCCTGTTTTAAGTATGTATCCTAGTTAAATGGGGAACTGAGCTATACATTTATACTCAGAAGCAGCCCCACAGAAATGAGAACTATTAAAAATTTCTAACACTTCCCTCAGCTTACTCCCTCAGTTTTCCATATGCTGTGCACTACTCATCACTATCCCAGTCGTCAGTCCAGACACTAGCCTGTGCTGCAGAGATTTCAAACTTGTTTTGTGAAAGTTTGCTCATCTTTCTACTAGCTAATGGGCTCCTTAATAGCAGGGATCTTGTTTTTTAACTTTTATTTTCATTGTTTTATTTCATGCAGTTGATACAAAAAACAGTCAAACAATCAGAAAGGTATAAAGTGAGCTACAGTCTCTCCCCCTTCCTTATTTATAAACTCCCAATCCTGACACCAAAGGCAAGCATCATCAGTTGTTTCCTGAGTAACTTTCCAGGATAAAAATGCATATACATTTACCAAAAAAGTGATGATACTATAAATAATTTTTTTCACTTGCTAGTATATCTTGGAGATCTTTCTGTATTACCATATACAGATCTACTTTAGTCTTTTTAACCGCTACATTGTGCTCCATCACACAGACACTCTACAGTTTACTTAGAATTATCTAATTATGGGCATTTAGGTGGTTTTCCGATTACTGCTATTAAAAACAATGCTCAAATGGACATCCTAGTACATATATCTTGCTTTATATTTGCAATTATATGTGATGGGGAATTCCTAGTCATGTGTTTTGACCACCTCCACATTGTCCAATTGGCCAGGAAGGGATTCCTGCCCTAGGGTTATGAGAATGGCCAAACAGACAACTTCCAACACTGGACAGATGAAATCAACAGTAATGTGTTACATATACTCACAGCCTGGAAGAGGAGAACACTGTATACCACACAGGGACGCGTGGGGATTCCACTTGGGACAGAGTGAACAAGCAGAGCTGTGGTATAACCCCCAAGAGCGGTGAAAACCCTGTTTCCCACAGAAAAATATGATTGGCTTGTTTGAATCATTCTGTGGGCCAGCAGGGAACTGAAGCCCGCTATTCAGGGATAAGCAGGCACTGTGCCTGAGGAGAGTTGTTTGAATATGGTACTTTATCTACAGGAACGTGATAAGACGGGGAACTTATGGTTGGACCAATATTTGAAACCCTATTGGCTTTCCTCAGATGTCAAGACACATATATATGGGGCCTTAATTTTGGGTCTTACACCACAAAATGAAATTGGTGGGTCAAAGAGTATGCACATTTAAATTTTTTAAATACAGCTAAATTGCCCTTGGATAAGGACTGAAATGCATGATAGTCCCTATTTTCCTTTAGCTTTGTCAATGTTAGGTATTATCCAAGTTTGAAATTTTTGTTAGTTTTGCAAAAAAATGGTATCTTATTGTTTTGATTTGTATTCCTGTAAGTAAGACCAAGTACTTTTATATGCTTATTGGCCTTATGATTTACTTTTCTGTGAAATGCTCATTTAAAGGATCATGCTTTTCTTTCTTCTTTATTATTTTTTTAAATTTGTATACCCCTAGTAACCAATACTGTGCTAAACATGTCAGAGAGATCTTTTTCTGTACACATATTTTTAATCACATTGAATACATTTTCTATGATTAGCAGTGCATTACCCTTTTAAATTATGTATATGATTTTTAGAAAATCTTATGCTGTACAGATATATCATTCCATTCAATTTATTTATTGATACATTCTCTGTCCTCAGTGAAAGTGTCTTCTTGTCTATAAGGGGTTGACTATGAGGTCTTCAAAAGGAATGCTCTTTTGCGACTTCTGAGTGCAAATTTAATTTGACTAATATTTTCTTCAAATTGTGGTAAAATACATACGCTATAAAACGTACCATTTTAACTACTTTTAAGTGTACAGTTCAGTAGTGTTAAGTATATTCACATTGTTGTGCAACCAATCTCCAGAAGTTTTTCACACCCATTAAACAACAACTCTCCATTTCCCCCTCTCTCCAGCCGCTGGCAATCATCATTCTACTTTTTGCTTTAAGTAGTTTGACTACTCTAGATAGCTCATGCAAGTGGAATAATACAGTATTTGTCTTTTTGTAACTGATTTGTTTCACTTAGCATAATGTCCTCAAGGTCCATCCATGTTGTAGCATGGGTCAGAATTTCCTACACTCATTTGTTCATCGATGCATCTGTCATTGCATGTCCGGATTGTTTCCACATTTTGGCTATTGTGAATATGCTGCTTTGAACACTGATGTACAGGTATCTGTTTAAATCCCTCCTTTGAATTCTTTGGGGTATGTACCTGGAAATGGAATTGCTGGATCATATGGTAATTCTATTTTTAATTTTTTGAGGAACCATCATACTTTTTTTCATAGTGGCTGTACCATTTTACATTCCCACCGACAGTGCACAAATTTCTAATTTCTCCACATACTCACCAATATTTGTTATTTTCTGTT